TTGAATGATGAATGAAAATGACCTAATTTTCTTTTTTCTTTTTTGAAGAAAAAAAAATATAAAATAGATATCTCACTTGTTGTTCATTGTATGAGTACTGGTTGTCGATGATGATGATGTCATAAGTCTCATCATTTATTTAATCCAATTTCTGTGTATGTCTGTGTGTAAAACGTTACCACTAAGACTAATTTTTTTTTTTTCGTAATACTAGCAGTTAGAATATAATTTTTTTTCTTTTGCTGTACAATGTTATTTTAATAGTCTATATTTTTATCAAACATCTATATTTTTACTTTCTTACTTATATACTGTACAACAAGATTATACAATCATATCCTTTATATATGGTCAATCGAATATTGACTGTTATCTATTTATATGATGGAATGACGTCAAAAAAACAAAGAAGAAACATGTTCGATGACTGACATGTTCAATTTATATAAATATAAATGTACATTCATTGACTGACAAGAAAGAAAAATGAAACATTCATTTATTATTCTACCTTGAACACAAAATAAATAATAACTAAGTTGTAGTCAATGATGCACAAATATTTGTATCTAAAGTATACTCAAAAGATATACGTTAGTTTGTTTAAAGCTAATAAAACTATCTACTTTGAATGTAGATAGATGTGTGAAGGCATAAATAAGTTGAATTAGAGAAAGAGAGAGTGTGACTATTTCTTAGTCAGTATTTTCGGACAAATATATAAAAAACGTAAGATAGTTTTTATGTGAATAATGAGTTATAATAGTCGAACTTGTGCTGAATGAATTTTTATTAAAGACTTATGTCATGTCATAAATATAGTCATCTGATTTGATCTTCGTCAATTTTTCTGCTTATTACGTGATTTTTCTCTGTTTTCTGACGTAATAAAACAGATCTCATTATATAGTTAGATGATATAAATGACACTCACAGATCTTTACTAATCGAGCTGTTTTTATTATATTTCTTCTTTTTTGATAATCGCCGTAGTTTTGTCGTATTGGTAGTTCTGTTGGTAATATACCATAATTACACGAGGAACGTGTGGTTCTGGAAATATTTACAGGGCATAAAAAACTATCACTATTATCACGCAAAAACAGATAAATATGTGTAGTGTCTGACAAGCCGTTAATCATTCGAGATTATAGCAGTTTTTAGGCGACTAACTGAATTAATGCCATTTCAGCCATGATAAAAGCTCGACTGATGAAAAAGTTCTATGCGTTGTTTGACATTGCTGCTTGTTCCTTGTAGAAGGACAAAGCTTAAATTTTCTTGACGATTATGTTCATTATCAGAAATAGGTTACAAGAAGCTAGGAAAAAGTACTGAAAGAAAATGCAGTTTACTCTGTCATTGTTTGTTCTCTAGAAATTACCCTTGTGAATACAGGTACTTACCTAACGATTCTCACAAGTTTTGTCCAACGATTTGGGTTTTCTTCGCAAATCAAGCACTTAAATTACTTTATCTTCGTGCCAAGCACTTGCCCAAGTACTTACGAGAGGTTCGACAAGTAAATTAAGTACTTGGCAGTGGAAAATACTTGTCGAGTTTCTATAATACTTGGCAAGTTCTTGTGAAGTACACTCAAAAATTTAAAAAGTAAACAGGTACCCATTCCCAAGTACATTCACTAGTCGCCTTAGTGAATGTACTTTTATACAAGTACTTGGAGAAGTAATATCCAGAGTACCTGAAGTGTTTTGCCTCAAGTGCTTTACAATAAATCCTACAAGATTTTGTGAAGAATTGAATGATGTAGAAATTGGCATCCTACTACACTGTAATCTTGATTATTTTCAGGTTAATCGGCCGAAAAATCGCCGAGGATTTTCTAAAAATTCATCGACGAACTTTCAGCTTTCTAGGAAATGTTGATTTTCTACTTTATAAAAACTTTACTTGAATTTGCATAAATTCGATTTTCTATAAAGGTAGAGAATCGCTGAGGATTTTCTATTAACTGGAAAATCGTCGACGACTTTCTAGAAAGTGGAAATTCGCCCAGGAATTTCTAGACCAAATACTTATTCATCTTTTTGTTTTGCAATCACTGTAGGTATAAGAGCATCACGTAAAGACACTCATATTACACATAAATCAACTTTGACAGTTTCTACTTTAAATCACAATTCTGCCTATGCGAGCAAGAATTTTGATTTAGACAGAGACAATAGTGGCGCGAAGTTTCGGTAGAAAGGTCCGAAAATCGGAGTCGTTCATCAGAACTTTCTCAAAAGCATGACCGGGGTCAACCCCCATACAACCTGGTCGCACCGCCACTCGATGTAGATCCGCCAAGGCATTTCTAGTTTATAGAAAATCCAAAAGGAATTTCTACTTTCTTGAAATTATTTATGGAAATTCACGGCGATTTTCTAACAAACTGGAAAATCAAGGAGGAATTTCCAGACTCTTGCAAATTGTTTATGGAAAATTCCTTTTCTGGACGGAGTTCAAGTTTCTTTCCGTCTTTTGCATAAAAGACTTTTAGGATAGACCAAAAGACATTCAATATAATAAAAACGTCAAAAACTCCGAAACGTATTTGTTGCCATTTTTCAGTACAGAACAGATGTTTCTTACTCAGAAAATGGACAAAAACGCGTTTCTGGTATAGAAACGTCTTAAATTACGTTTGCAGCTCTTGCGCAAAAGCGTGCTTATAAAACAAAAATGCGTTAGATTATATTAGAATATCACAGACGCGGCCTATCTGTTTTTTATGGATAGACGTTAAATGGATTCAGTTAGAGGGCACACCTTAAACATCTCATATGGTAAATGTCGATTGGACACCGATGACATATCGCGACCGACATGTTAGTCGATATATTACGAGAAGTCGCCGACTTTTTACCATTTGAGACGACAAGTCGTTGAAAAATTTTCAAAGTGTGCGCTTATTATATTAGTTTTAGTTAGTCGTCGACTCAAGCAACTTTTAAAAACATGAAAATCGACTAAAAATTGCAGCGTTATAAAAAGTCGCTGACTTCTCGCGACTAATGGACGACTTTTAAGAAAACCGTGACATGTCAACAAAATTCAAGCACGTTTTGACAAAGCGTTTAAAGACGTTTTTTTTATCATAAGACAACAAAGAAAAAACGAATAATTTTGAAACATGTTTTGTTTTTTTGATACGCATTTCCATATAATACTTCGAGAGGCGTTTTTTTCATTTTATTGTTAGAAAACACGTTCTCTGTCGTTAGTTTTAAATGGAAAAGCGCAATGAAACCCGTTGCGAGAAAAAGCGCGTTCGAATTTTTGATTGCGTTCAGTGGTCCCGGAAGTAGCTTAAAATGCCGCAATGAGGACTCGCGGATTACTTGAGCAAGAGATTGGCCAAATTCCTGGTACGAAGCTAGAATAATTTACATACGTGATTTACTTGATATTAGTCTAGCGGTGACATCTGTAACGTTTTGGAATTCCTTGTTTTCTCTTCGTTAAGTTAAAGGCGCAAATTCTCGATGTTCTCGTTTGCTGTCATTCGAGGTCTTGACGTAATTCTTCACCCTCTTTGCCAGCCAATGCGAGTCTTCCAGATTTTATTCAATTGGTTCCTGTTTGTACTGCTGAATCATGATTACACGTACAGGCGGGCAGACATCTCTATACTATATTCAGGCACGTCTTGTCTTATATCTCCATATATATCGCAGCAGAAATTAAAATTCAGTAGAATGTGAAATTCTACTAGTTGAGATTAAAATTTCATTTTCTACAAGGAGAAATTAAAATAAACGGTGGTTTTAAGTTGTACCAGTAGAAATTGAAATTTTTATCTCTATTATAGTAGAATTTTAAATTCTACTAGAAAGTTTATACTACAGAAGTTTTTTTGTAATACAACCACCATTACAAGCACAAGCTTCTGAAATTGGATTAACACCGCTACTAACATAATCTTTACAAGCTCGAATAAATGTTTGTGTTGGTAATGTTTGAGAATCAATAGCACATGTAATTTAGAAAAATTACATTTTATTAAATCTATGAGATCACTAACACCATATCTTGGGGACAGAACACATTTTGATTTGATTTTCTATTTTTGGCTAGGGATACCTCCAAAAGTTTAGGAACAATTTTGATACAAAATGGCAAAAATAATTCTGTGGGAAAATAATATTAGTTTGAAAATTTTTCATATACTTTTGCAAGTTGTCCACGCCAAAAATAGAAAATGCTGAATATGAAAACGCACTTTTCAGCAACTTAAATCATGTTTATTTTTTTTCTGGTGATATGTTGCTTAAATTTATGCTACTTTTAAGCGAAAGAAAACGTTCAGCACCACTAGATTTCAAGAGGCTCCGCTACCTGAGACGATGTACTTTTCACATGTCATCTACCTAAGAGCAGCCGGTTTTTTTCACGCTGTCGATTTACACAGTATCAACCTCGTGCATTCCATTCTACAAGCATACATGGTTCTACCAAAAATAATTCCAGTGTACTATACTTCTAGCACCGGTGCAGCGAATGCCGGCAAATCATACTTTATATTGGTATCGATGCGTGATCGTGCCAAATGCTGATAAATTTTTTTTCTCGATGGAAAAAGAGTCACCGAAGTGATTGATGTTTATGTATACAGACGAGTTACGATCATATTACTTCACGCCTCAAAACGTGAATTTTGTCTGGATAACTCAGAATCATTATTCGGGCAGCCAACCAATGCGTTGTAAATAATATATAGCAAGCTTTCTTATATACATAATTCATGCATGAAAGATTAATTCACTCTTTTTGATTTACGTACAGCTTACAAATTGCATGTCTAAAACTGTATGAGACATGCTTGTGTACGAGCATCTATACGTATCAAAAAAGTGATCTTAGATTGTCTTGACAGTTACCATTATAGCGGTATTTTTATTTTTGTAGAAATGCAGTCTTATCAGTTTCAAATCATTTAGCAAGATCGATTCTTCGTCACCTTACTAAAACGTCTTCATTATTACATTTATTTGAAAATGAGTACTAGCAACAGTGAAACAAATACAAATAATCATCCTGATGCCGCAAATAGTTTTAATTATAGTGGAAAAGGTTAGAATTGTGTTTTATCTCATAGTCGTAGAGAGTAAATGTTCATGTGTTCAAGTAGTATTTTTTTATCTCCTGTAGATGTTGATCTTGATGGTCAAACACATGTTCAACAAAAACATATTGAACAAGAGGTAGGTAAATTTGATACATCCTTTTAAATCTATTTTTCATATGACGCTTGCATATTTTCTAGATTATAGACAACCAATCGTTGATTAGTGGAAAAATGAATACTAGCAAACTTCAAAGTGAATACGATGTGGACGATTCGATTTATCAGTCAAAAATACGAGTAAATAGACTGTCACTCTAGTCAGTAAATTTTTGCTACGTATGTTTTGTTTGTAAGGAATTGATGAAAAAATACAAATATATACGTAAAACACGTGGAGATGGTAATTGTTTTTATCGAGCATTCGGCTTCGGTTATCTTGAGCAAAATTTAAAAAATGAACTAGAATTGGACCGGTACCAATGATGACTAAGTCTACTATTTTTTATCTTCATTTTTCTCTCTTTTTCTTCAGATTTCGTAAATTAGTTGCTGATTTAAAAGATAAACTAGTTCAATTGGGTTATCAAGAGTTTACAGTCGAAGACGTTCGTGATGTGGTAAGTGTCAGTATTGCTTTTGAGTACCTTTCAGTAGATATATTTTTCTGTACATTTTAAAGGTTCTTGAAACAATTGATAAAATCTGTCAAGGTGGTGATATACCAAATCTAATGAAAATATTTTGTACCCAAGAATATTCTGATTATTTTGTAGCATATTTACGGTATTTCATTCATAACATTGAGATTCATTTGTTAAGAAAAACATCCCTTTTTTTTCTTCTTTCGTTTAGTTTATTTACATCGGCTTATTTACAGATGAATGCGGAATTTTTTCAAAGCTTTTTGGATGAACCTTCAAAGACTATAAAAGAATTTTGTTGTACGGTAAGAGCCAAGGAAATTTATCTTACATATTAATCGAATCTGAGTGTTTTGAACTACAATGTAGTTGTAGTTTCGTTATCTTTTCGATTTGTGTACAAGATATTCTGCACTCTAAATATTGTTCTGGTACACTGTAAGCGAAGTCTAACATGTTATCGTGACTATGTTTTGTTGATTATCCTAACAGGAATCTAAAAGAGAAGAATTATTTTTAGTTGTATGTCTTTTTATTTTGTTTATTTATTTGTTGCCTTATAACAGGAAGTTGAACCAATGGCACGTGAATCGGATAATATTCATATAATTGCATTAGCGAAAGCTGTTCAAGTGTCATTACGTGTAATCTATATGGATCATAGTGAAACATCACAGTTGACCATACATGACTTCGCTCATACTGACAATGAACAAATGTTTCATCCAACAATTACATTTCTTTATAGACCTGGACATTATGATTTATTATATGAAAATTAAACTGTTAACATTTCTATGCCAATTTAATTTCTATTTTTTTATTATATTTTAAACGAGTTTGTTATATTTATTGTTAATTTTCACTCGCAAAATATGTGTCGGATGATATGAAAATCCATGTACATATTTTATGTTTTCATCTGTTGTTTGTCAAACATTCATAATGCAGGTCTCAACAATATTTTTCATACATTTAAAAAAGTTGTTCCAGCAGGAAAATAGACCCATGTGCAATAATATCTTGCAAACGAAACAGAAACATGAAATTAGAGAGAAAATCATTTAAACAAAATTTCATTATGGTATGCATCATGTAGGATCTATGATCAACTTTAAGGATCAATATTTGCGCACGTTCTCTAAAGAATACTACCTATTAGATATGAACATACTGGGATTCGTGAGAAAACGGTATATATAGCCTCTTAAGAGACTGAGAAATCGAAGTCACTTACCTAACACATATGTCGTCTTGAGTACAAAAAGATATATGTTGTTATAATATAGAAATGAAAATAACAATAATTTGTGCAGAATCCACTATGATTCGATGTTTACGGATCAGCAGATCTGAATAAAAAAAAAGTTCTTTGATTGAGAAAGCTAGTATCTTAAACAAAAAAAGAAGATTTATTGAGCAAGCAACAAACGTTGCGTTTGAAAAACAGTTTGGGCATCGATGTGCATCAATGCCAAGTTTGCAGATAAATAGATAAACTTTTATTCGCAACAAGTGGAAATCATAAAAGGCCTACAATCTATAATATCGATGGGTCAAGCAATACGGAAGAAAACAGAAGCGAGGAACAAAATCAGTTAGAAAAACAAATCGAACAGATATGGAAATAAATAAAAAGACAAATTAACACTAACACCGGATAGAGTTGACTAGAGACATGATTGAAATAACTGTGAAAGATATTGTTATAACGCTGTTTCGAACGAAGATAAAGAAAATACATAAACGATTGTGGAAGATTATTATGGTCGGTAATAATCAGTCATATCAGAGGAACAAAAAAGATAAAGTTGGTTGTGATTTGCTGCATAAAACTCAATTTTATGCTACACTTTACTCTCAGAGTCTCAACCAACGAAATGAAAGGATATATTAGGATTAAGCTCAGTCCTAGTGTATTTAGCGTCCCAGCGTACCTTTAGCCACTATAGTAGCTAAAGATACGCTGGAACACTAAATCGTTGCCGGGATTTTACACACATCATTCGGTCAACGCAGAATACTCTTCATGTTTAAACCCACACAAAAACAACTTTGCGTTCACGCATCTCGTTTCAGTCCAAGATAACAAAACAGAACGAGCTTATATAAACAGGGGCGTACTTACTGAGGGGTCGTGAGATGGTTACCACCACCCTCCTCTGCCACACGCTTTTTTCAAGCGTCAGCGTCGTGTCGGTCGCTTTTGTGTCTGCCATTGTCGTGCCAGTTGCCAGATGCTTTTTCGTCTAACTGCTAGTCGCCAAAGCGTCCTTGATGATTTACAGTGTATGAAGTATTATATCATTGGTGGAAACGTTGAGTCTTAGTCGTGTATCGTTACCGAGCTGACCAATTTGACCCAAGTGAAAAATTTTGATTTTTAAAACTTTTTTTGTAAATTATAAGTATCTCCCCCAAATTTAATCTTTTTCACTTATGGATTAAAAAAGCCCTACTGGTAAAAAAATCTGGAATGGTCGATTGAATTGCTTATATCGTAACTGTAAAAAAATGACCCTTAAAAAACATTAGTAATGAGGACAGTTTTGGGGAAATGGCAGTAGTTAGCAACCACCCATATTTATTACAGTGGAAGTGGAATGTGTCTGAACTTTATTTACTCAGCTTAGATTGCCAGAAGTAATTATTTTTGTCTAGAAGAATTGATGTTTGATAAAGAATTATTTTCTCTTCTTTCTTCCGCTGTCGCAGAGTCAGTAAAGCTATTTTTTAAATAAAACACATTGCCTACACAAGTTCTTTACACTATAAATACCGCTTATGTAAACTATTATAGTGACTTGTAAGTCAACAAATCAGATATCTTTTCTTTGTTATTTCCAGAAAGCCAAGTTTCTCGACTAATAATGTCCTTTGGGTGAATTACACGACACTCACTAGAGTGACTTATGTAAACCACTGTCTAGAAACTATCAGTGATTTGCACAGGCTGTCGTATAAGACTACGTTCACACTACAAAAGTTAAATGAGCTAAAACGAAGTGGTATACGGGTAATAAAACTGATAGTGTATATGACAATAGATAATCTATTGTAACAAATCCATTAGAAATACTTCCAACCTCTTTGGGATCTGCAGAGGGTGTGCAGAAAACCTTTTAGCTTTATATTACATTAGATGATTTTCCGGTGGAATCAGAGAAGTTCATAGCATTTCTCATCTATACTGATTGCGAACGCCGACAGAAGGGAAGCATGAGGATTGTTTTAAATTCAGAAATAGTTTTAGACCTCTTGAGATTTTTGCTCTTTATATTCATATTAGATTCCGAACCTTACACATGAAAACAGAAAAAG